GGTGGCGCGGGGGTGCCAGCCATGGGGAGGCTGGGGGAGCAGGCAGGGGATGGGGCCTGGCAGGAGGCTCCCATGGTCCCCTCCCCACTCCTCCAGCCTTCTCTCCCCCATCCCCTACTTACCAGCTCAGAGTCTGGGTCCAGCTCCCTGCTGCACTGTGCAGGGACTGCCTGAATCGCCGAAGCTCTCCGAATCTTTTCCGAATCGATTTGGAGAACTTTGAATCAATTCAGAACTTTTTATTGGTCCTCTGATTAAATTTGGATTTGGAGATTCGGCCACCGAATTGGGCCGAATCTCCTCCAAATCGAATCAGCACCTGAAGCTTTGCACAGCCCTAAGGGCAACCCTTGCTACTCTTCCTAGATCCTGCTTGTAAGACTGCAAGACGATATTCAGTATAACCCTACCACTCGAGAAGCAATGAAGGACAGCAATAGTCTCTCCCTTCTCCATCTCTTGCATATACTCTGGCCCTAACCTCATTCAGGTGCCTGAGTTCTCAAAAAGAGCTCTTGGGGGTGGGGGAATCGTCTGCTGAAGAGACACAGTGGAAAGTGAGCCTCTTCTGGCATAGCTAGGTATCCCTCCCTTCCAGAATTTCCTCCCCACCATCGGAGCTGGAGTCCTTGTTCCTCAAGAAATCAAGGATTCCTATCCTCATTCTGTGTGTGCTCACCATGCATGGAGCTAAGGGCAGACATGGAGGTGGCCAAATATTGCTGAGACAGGCCAGGGGATGGGCTGACTCCACTTGTCAAAATGCCCAGAGGTGTCTGGGCTCACCAGGCTTCCTTGACCATTTCCGGGAATGCCAGTGGGAGGTGTCCATTACTTACTTTGTCCAAACACAGGAGCATGGGGACGCTCACAAAGATGACCAGGAGAATGGACTGGATCATGATGATGGCATCTTTCAGCGTGTTTCGGTTCTGGACTTGCTCAATGGTGCTGAATCCTATAAGTATGGAAACATAAAAAATTGGACACTGTTAACCCTTTGCAGGGTGATTCTCACTGACAGGTGGTGAATAAATATGGGGTGGCTGGAGTCTTGTGATGAAACAGGTTTGAGGGCCTAAGAGGATACCAGTAGATGTGATACTGAAGACTGAATGCCCTGTGTGATTCAAGCCTGTAGCAGGTATATTCATGATGGCTGTGTAAGTCCTACCCACAAAGCAAGTTATCAGAACTTCACACACTTTACCTTGTGTCAATGGGGTTATTTTTCCACATCCCTTCTGGAAATACAGTATGATCATAATTTCATATTAGTAATATGACTGCCTCATTCATGATCAGCCTCATTGCTCTGATCATGGCATAAAACCAGGAAGACATTGCCCCTGCCCAAATGTTTGGATAATTTATTTCCAGTGCACAGCCTCATAAGTTCAGGCTGATCCCCAGATTTTAAAGCTGGAACAAGATCTTCAGTCCTCCAGGATAATTTCCTGTTGAGCACAGGCAAAAGCCCCTCACCTAAGGATTCTGGCATTGAGTCACATACTCAAAGGTTGTAGTGGGACATATCCTGGATGGGGTCTGACAGAAGTAAGTCAGATCTGAAATAATTTAGAAACCAGCCAGAGAATGGGTCCTTTTACAAACAGAACTCAATGCTCCTAAGGCAACTTCATCAGTGTCAATGGCATGAGGTGCCATCACTAAACATGATCAGAGAGAGTGTAATTTGTTACCAAATTCAAATTCAGCCTGACACGACATACCCTGACAGATCTGCAACCACTGTTAATGGAAAGGGCTCATTTGCTATTGTTCTGCACACTTATTTCCCTCCTGGTATTATGGCTGCTAACTTATTCATGCAGATGGTTATAGTTGGATTGGCAAAAGATCTGAAAGGGAGCACATTGGAATGTGAACAGGATGCCAAAATCCTTTTGAAAATCCCAGCCTCCAGGGTCTGAACAGAAAATATTTAAAAAAAAAAAAATTAAAAATCTCTATGACTAGATAGATAGATAGATAATGCAGCTCACCTATTACTTTGAGTTCACTCCCACATTTGTGTTTCAGTTGCACAGACCCCATAAGGCTTGCATTTTCACACAGGTAAATGCCATTGTCTTCATATTGGATTTTATTGATGGTCATCTCCAAAACTGTATCTTTCGAAACCACTTCAATCTTTGGCAAAGTACTTCTGATCACCTGGGGGATATCATCTTGTTCACTCATTTTGTACCACCGGATGCTGCTACCATTTTGGTGATGGCAGATGAAGTGAACGTTGGTGTTCTTTTTGGCAGCCACATAGCGAGGGTATTGCTGAAATCTTGAGCAGGATGTAACTAAGAGGAAGTAAGAACAGTCCAGGGTTGGGAGGGAAATGAGAAAAATGGATATTTGTAGGCCTTCAAGTGCTTCCCCAGGGGGTCTTGAGGTAAGAGGAATTTTAATATGGTTATTGTTTCCACGTGCTTTCTGGTCAAGATCTGGCAATTGCTGACCAAATGCCAAAACGTGTATCAGTACAAAATGAAGGACCAAAAAAATATGTACATATCCAGAAGGGGCTTTGTCTCAGCTGGAATTTTGCTGGACACAAATTGAGCGCAGGACATGTACAAACAGTCCTCAACACCCGTGGAAATTAGAACCTTAGGGTGTGTCTATATGGCAATGTCAGTATGTCCTGAGAGGGATGCCTCTGAGCATGCTGTGCCTACCTGCATACACTTGGCTGCTCCAAGCCTGGAAATGCAGTGGTGAAACCACTCCCATAGTATCTCCAGCATCCACTGTCGGGCACACTGGAAACAGATCTCAAGAGGAGCAGTGGTGGGATGTGACCCACAGAAGAGGAGAAATAAGCTTGTCTTTAAAGGCTGTTAGCATCCTTCCACCTGTAACAACCAGCAGGTTCTTGCAGGTTGGAACGTGAGTTGTAGTGGGGATGATTTGGAGGGTGACATCAGAAACACCATGGCCATGGAGAGTTTCATAATAGCTCCAAGAACCTACTGTCTCATGGCTGCAAGCATGAGATCCAAGGTCTTATTGTCCAATTGGAGTCCCTTTATTATTGCACAGAGCTCTGAGCATGAAACACCAGCCTTAATGGGTAGCAAATAGTCTAATAGCCATGGATTGTACTTTCTTCCACAATTATTCCATGCAATATTCTGCAGCAAGGTGACCTTTAGGCAGAGGTTTTATTTAAATAGGATATTCTCCAGAAGACTTAGACCCAAATCCAACAAGCACACACTTGCTGGACTTGGCTCCATTGAGTTCAATGGATACCTTTGCTATAAGCATGTTTGAGTGTTTGTTCAGAATCAGGGCTTCACGTTCTGCCTATAGTTTTCACATTTTCTTTGTTTCTTTACCTGACAGATTTGAATTTCATAGCAGACAAATAACTTGCTTGCCATAACATTTGTTGGAACTCCCTTTTTTTTTCTCTTTAGAAAATTTTTGGGCAGAAACTGAAACAATTCAAACTCTTTCAGGCAAAACCAGAATACTTCACTGGAATTACAGTTCAGATGCTTTATGCTCCTATCCACTTCTATACTTTGGGCTCCTTGGTTGGACTACAGGTCCCATGATGCAGTATGCTCTCCCCTGTCAAAGCAGGCTGTGCATCAAGGTAATCCTTGGTCCTGATGCCACAACCTAGTGGTTTGGTTGGGGAACCTGTCCTATAAAAAAGAATTGGTTTTCAGCCTCTTAATGAAAAACATAACTGCTTGTGGAATGCAGGGACTTTCTGTGAAGTTGTTTGTTTAGAGGAGAATCCAATTTTCCCATGAAAAACAGTTTCAAGGGAAAAGTTTTGCTTGCCCTAGATGTAATTACTTAAAACTAGTCATAATATTTCTTTGAAGTGGTAAAAAATGTGCTCTATGCTTAACCTGAAACAACTTTTAAGAGATTAATAATTAAATGCTAACTTACCAAGTTACACACTTGACATTTGTAGTGCTAAAGTGATGTTGTAGCTATGATGGTTCAGGAAATATGCAAGTTATCATCCACAAAAATCCTTGCTTCTTGAGTACTGACATTATAATTTTATTGAATTCAATTTGAATAATTCCTTATAGTTGAATTTAGTTTAGTTGCTTCACAAAATCACGAGCATTTTATACCTACATCTTTTTAATGCAAACTGTTTAGAGTCGCAAATTTGGCTACTGAATTTTTTCCTTTCCCCATGTTATTTCTCTTTTTCCTAATTAAAAAAAGGAATTATAAAACCACAAATGACTGGGAAAAGACAGACAGTTCAGTACCTAGATTAGTGACTCTAAGCAGCTTACATTAGAGGGGAAAAACCTCCAGTAATAGCTTCCATGACATATCACATGACATTAATAACAGAACAACGCATAAACCTTTAAAAACCGTTACACAAATAGCACTACAGAGTTAAATTTATCTTGATTAATTCCAGCTCAGTGCTCAGTATGTGCCCTCTCATTGCAGTTAGGGGTGATGACCTACTTTAAAGTTCCTTTTCTAAAGTTGGTGGAAAATGCTGCTCTCTAGAAGCCAAACCATGACATCTTCACTTGTAATGACTCATAAATGACCCATCACTTGCTCACATCTTTTTTTTTACACTTGACTCTTCTTTTCTTTTAGCATGTTTTGCTTCCTGAGTTTTGTGTTGCCACTTGTTGACGAGTTTCCAGGCTGATTTCGCCTACAGCATTTGTTATTTATAAGTTAGCTTACCAGAGGAGAGGAAACACCAGAAAGTCAGAGAAGTAGGGCTGGAAGGGACTTCCAGAGGTCATCTAGTTGTACAACTTGCCTGAGACAGCATCATCCCTATCCAAACCATCCTATATAACTCCATTGTCTAACCTCTTAGCAAAACTACACAGTCACATTGGACACAACACAAGGCATAACACCCTAATCTGTCACAGGTAGAGCAGGGGGACAGTCGCAGCTAACATCATGGTGCCACAAAGGTTGTTAAAGTACACTTGAGAGGGTTATGCCCACTCAGAGGAAGGCAAAACCCCCACAGTCCAAACCAGTCTGACTATAGTGTAAAAATTATGTCCTGACCTCAAATATGGCAATTGGTCTGATCCTTAGTGGAGCTGCAGGACCCTCTAGCCAGGAACCCCTGGGTTGAAGTCCTAGCAGGAAGATTTGCATACCCCAGGCACAATTCCCAGCCTTGGCTACCTCCAAAAACCAGTCTCTCTGAGGAAGGATTAAAAAAACCCTGACACATACAGCAGGAGGAAGGGAAAAAAATGCTCAGCCCCATGTGGTTAACTGGTAAGTCCAGAAACATGGGAGATTCCCATAGTAAAACAAAGGCAGATCTATGGTTGTATCATCCCTGACCAATGCCTGTCCAATCTCAGCTTGAACACCTCTAATGATGGAGATTCTACAACTTTCCTAGGCAGCTTTCAAATAGTGAAGAAGATATTCCTGATATCCAATCTAAGCATACTTTGCTACAACTTCACATCATTGGTCTGTATCCTACTCCCTGCATCAAGGGAATAAAGGTGTTTTCCCTGTTCTTTATGGCAGTCCTTCAAGTTTTGAAGACTGCTATCATAACCCCCATGAAGCACCTTTTCTGCAAGCTGAATTTGCCTATTTCCTTCAACCTCTCCTCTTACAACTTGCCTTCCAAATCCTTTATCATTATTGTCACCCACTTCTGGACTTTTATTGAGTCTGTAATTTACCAGGACTCCCAGATCCCTCTTTGTAGAGTAGCCATCCAGCCAGGTGTCACTCATTTTGTATTTGAATTTTGAGTTTTCCTCCTAAGGTATAGCACCTTGCATTTGTCAGCATTGGATTTTATCCTGTTAGCTCCAGCCTAGCTTTTCAATCTGTCATGATACTTCCAAATTGCATTCCTGTTCCTCAAGGTGTTCATACTCCTTCGCAGTTTCATGTTGTCTGCAGATTTGTTCAAGTATCTTTCTATGCCAGCCTCCAAATCATTAAGAAACATGATGAACAGCACTGGGCCCAGGACAGGCCCCTGTGGTGCTGCACTTGAAACCTGCCTTTCTGACTTGGGTCCATTTATAATTACCCTTTGCTTGTGGCTGTTGAGCCACCTAGCCAGTATTAGGTGTGGCTAGTGCTTTTGCCTAGCTGCACCTGCTGCCTCCTGCCACCCTGGAAGCTTTGCAGGGACCTGATCCTGATGGACCAACGCTCCCCTGTGTCCATTGGCAATGCGTAGGGGGTGCGTGTGGGTGGATGTGTAGGGGGTGCACCTCCTGGAAGCACCAGCCGCAAAACCGGAAATGCACTTCTGGTTTCGCCGCTGGCTTGGCAATTGGCCGCTGGTGATCAGCCGGGCTGGTGATTGGCCACTGGGGGATCCCTCCCGGTCGGCGATCTGGTGCCCCCCCAAAGACTGGGCAGGCAACTGACTGTGTTCTGTCACTCCTCACTGCTCAGGAAGCTCCACTGGGCCTGATCTGGACTTCCCCAGAGTCCCTATGATGGCTGCCCTGCCCTAGATTCATAGATTCATAGATGTTAGGGTCGGAAGGGACTTCAATACATCATCGAGTCCGACCCCCTGCATAGGCAGGCAAGAGTGCTAGGGCTAGAGGACACCAGCGAGATG